TTATGCAACTGGCCCCAGCCCAGACCACTACTCTACAGGTTTATGGAAGTTCAAGTCCATTTACTAATATTACATAACCATATATTCTGCCATATAAGCAGTAGCCTATAAAAACAATTAAATAATTACACCACCATTTACTTTTCTTCTTATTATTATTATTATTATTATTATTACATTGAATTGCAACACTTTAATATTATATTATTAAAAAAAATGTTAGTGTTGTTAGGACTTTTTTTATGCTTAATGGATTAAACAGAGCTGCACACATTTCGCCTGCCACCTGATGGCACTGTTTTCTACACTCCTGGTGCTTTGAATCTTTGCCCGAAACAATCAGAGAAAAGCTTCATAGCTTTAAGAGGCTTAATTTCTCCATCTCTAGTCCCCTACAGAATTTTATGTCGAGGTTTTTAAAATGAATGCTTGGGAAATATAAAACAAAAAACATTATACAGAATACCAATGCATAAAACATTACTTAAAAAAGAACAAGAAAACAAAGCCTATAGTGTAACCAATAGTTTTGTTTATTTGTTTCATAAGACAGACTCACCAATTGGCTCTATAATATGCCGAAGCAGAAAACAGGAATAAAGCGAGGATTTGCTTTATAGGCAAAATTTTGAAGCCTTGACAACAGAATGAAAGCCTCTTAACAAAGATTGCATCATTTTATAGTTAAATGAACCTGGGATTAAAAAATGCAGTTTTAATGGGTTTCAATGGGGACATTTTTGTCCAAAATGCGTTGAGAGGGAGTATTTTGTGTACCTAGTGCAAAAAATATTTGAAGAAGAAAATGGCAGTGAAATAGAAAAATTCCAATAAAAATACACACCTGTGCCAAATTTTATGCAGTTAGCATTAACACAGGCTAAGTGATCAAAAACACAAAACTGAAAAGGACAAAAATATCCATAAGGATGCACAAGGGTTCATCAATCCTGGAATTGTATGTGTTTGATGTGTTTCTCATAGGTGTTTTCCATTCATCACCCTCCCTGATGCGAAAAAGATTATAGGCATTGCGGAGGTCTTGTTTGGAAAATTATTTGGCATTGCAAAGTTGTTCTAGGGCAGCTGGTACCAGAGGCAATGGATATCGAAACTTGACAGTGATGTCGTTGAGACATACAGAGGCTGCAGGTGACGTAGAAGCTCTGATGAACCCCTTTGAAAGTAACCCCTCGATGTAGTTCCTCATGGTTTCGGAGTAGGGTTGTGATATGGGAAAAATTCGACCCTTAGGTGGTGCTGCGCCTGGTAATAGTTCAATGGAGCATTGAGCGGTGAGGAGGAAGTTCCAATTCCCTGGTCTTGCTAAAAGCCTTGATGAGGTCAGAGTATTCAATGGGATGAGTAGGAAGAAGAGCAGGTTCGTCTTATAGCATAACGGTCTGAACGGAGAGTGAAGAGCTGGCAGTTAAACAATTGGAGTGACATGACGAGTCCCATTTGATGATTCGACCCTCCTTCCATGAAATGAGGGGATTATGTTCCCCTGTTATGTTGAACATATTAAGAAGAGGATCTATGACCTCTGGAAGCATCTCTTTCAATAGCTTAGTCGGTATAGGGTCTAACATGCATGTTGTCGATTTAAATGATTTAACGAGTTTAGAAAATTCTTCCTCTCCTATAGAAATTAATGAATCGAAATTTTCTGTAGTATACCAAATGCTAGGCAATCCTGAGATAGACACCCCGGAGGAGAATATTTTGTTCTCCTTTTCTTTTCCTTCCGCCTCACGGTTGACGGAACCCAATTTGTCAAAGAAAGAACTAACACAAACTCTACAGATCCCAAGAGGGCGCGGATGAAAGTGGGCGACACAACGCCTCGCCGCTCTCGTCCCCATCTTTCCTTGTCACCAGCTCTCAGTCAGGCGGCCCCAAGAGAACGCATAGCCTTATCACACCCCCTCTGCCAGTCCGTGGAACCAGACCCCGCCCTTACCACGGGACGCTACGCCTCTCATGTCAGGGTCGTCTGTTCACCACCTCGCTGACCCCACTGGTTCGGTACCTGGGAGCCTGGCTAGAGCTTCCCAGCCCATCCCGCTGGCTCGCTATGCGATTCAATTCGCCCAGCTAACCACCAGGTTTCGGGGAATTTGATTCATGGTGGGCAAGGACACCCCTGTCATGCAAGGAGAGGTCGCAGCCTTACTGGCGAAGGGTGTGATCAAGCCGGTTCCTCCAGCTGACATGAAGTACGGGTTTTACAGCCCCTACTTCATACCCAAGAAAAGTGGTGGGTTACGACCGATCCTGGACCTGCGTTCCTTGTTCCGAGCCTTACACAGACTTCCATTCAAGATGTTCAAACGCATTTTCGAATGTGTTCGTCTTCTGGATTGGTTTGTAACGAACGACCTGAAATACTTTCATGTCTCCATTTCCCCGTGACACAGACCATTTCTACGCTTTGCTTTCGAGGGGCAGGCATATCAGTAGTCAGAACGACTGGCTGATTCTAGCTCACTCTCGGATTGTGCGAACACAGGGACCTGGTGCTCAAGCACCTCTCCCAACTGGGCCTTCGGGTCAACTGGGAAACGAGCAAACTCTCCCCTGTGCAGAGGATCTCTTTTCTCGGTATGGAGATAGACTCGTCGCCATGTTCGTGCAGCTTACGAGTGAGCGCTCTGTAACTGAGTCAATTTAAAGGGGAAGATGGTGGTTCAACTAAAACTTTTTCAGAGGCCCCTGGGGCATATGGCATCCGCAGCGGCAGTCACGCTGCTTGGGTTGCTTCATATGAGACCGCTTCAGCACTGGCTTCACGACCGAATCCCGAGATGGGCATGGCAACAGGGCATGCACTGAGTGTCAGTAACTCCGGCCTGCCGTCGAACCTTCAACCCGTGGTCCAACCTCTCCTTCTTACGGGCAGGTGTTCCCCTAGAACGAGTTTCCAGGCATATTATTGTCTCAACAGATGCCTCCACCATGGGCTGGGGTGTCATGTGCAACGGACAGGACCCCGACCTCAGTGTCATGTCAATTGCCTCGAGTTGCTAGCAGTACGTCTTGCTCTGCACCACTTCAGGGCCCTGCTGAGGGGCAAGCACGTACTGGTCTGGACAGACAACACTGCGACCGTAGCGTACATCAACCGCCAAGGTGGTCTACGCTTATGTCACATGTAGCGACATGTAGCCATTTCCTTTTATGGAGTCAGAACGTTTGTGGAGACTGACGTCGCATCGTGCCATTCACATCTCGGGCAAGCTAAAAGACGGCGCTTCTTACGGCTTTGGCTTCAGTTAAGAGGGTAGGGAACCTGCAGGCATTTTCAGTTGAAGAAGCTTGACTGGAATTCGGGCCGGCTCACTCTCATGTGATCCTGAGACCCCGGCGGGGATATGTGCCCAAAGTTCCCACCACTCCCTTCAGGGATCAGGTGGTAACCTTGCAAGCGCTACCCCTGGAGGAGGCAGACCCAGCCCTAGCACTGCTCTGTCCAGTACGCGCCCTCCGTGCTTACGTAGATAGAACTCAGTGTTTTAGGACCTCAGACCAGCTCTTTGTCTGTTACGGAGGCCAGCAGAAGGGAAAGGCTGTCTCCAAGCAAAGGTTGTCCCACTGGATAGTGGATAATATAGCCTTGGCTTACCAAGCCCAAATTCTGCCATGCCCCTAGGGCTGAAGGCACACTCGACCAGGAGTGTTGCTTCCTCCAGGGCTTTGGTGCATTTACACTCCTCAGGTGAGTTCCACAGTTCTGAACCCTGGGTTCATCCAGCACTGTTGACGTCTAACACCTGTGTGCTGCCCAGTTGGTCAGCCCTCGTGTCGGACTAGGTGCCTCCATGTGTTGCGAATCCCCTGTTTGGGCAATCCCACATGTGTATTTCCATTGTCTCCTCTGGTAGCACATGTCTTTCCCTTGGCAAGACCACTCTTGCCGTCTTTTTTCATCTTTTTTTACCTCAGAGAAATTTGGTAACTCTTGCGTTAAGCCTAGCCCTTCGATTGTGCTGGAATCACGACAAGGATATCTGGCTTGCGCAGGGCACTGGAAGACAGCCATTGTGGTGTTTTGGATAGTACCCCATTCTCAGTTGTTCTGACATAATGTAGAACATGACTGACTGAAAGGGAACGTCCAGGTTACGTATGTAACCCTCGTTCCCTGAAGGAGGGAACGAAGACGTTACGTCTTCTTGCCACAACCGTTATACCTCTCAACAGCCGGGACACACCTCTCGGCTCCTCAGCGAAGAACTTGAATGCGAGAATGCAGGCACTGCTCCTTATATACACACAGCGGGGCAGAGCTTGTGATGCAAATTCCGCTGACCAAGATACTTTGCGTACCATTGGCTCGTTTTGTACAACGCTAAGGTCATTGGGCTCTCGGGCGAGACCACATTCGCCAGTCGTTTTGACATAACGTCTCCGTTCCATCCTTCAGGGAACGAGGATTACATACGTAACCGAGACGATGTTGCAACAGCAGGTTATATATGACAGGGTAATCCAAGAGATAACAGCAGCAACATGAACAAGAGGCAAATCAAAAGTGGAACAAGAAATAAAACACAGGATGGCAAGAGCAAAATGGCAGACATGAACCAAACAACGATCTGACAAAGACTGACTGCAACACAAGGGTAGATACAGGAAGACATAATGAGTGTCAGGTGAGGTTGGCCTGATTAACTCGTCAGTGTAATGAGTTGCCCAGCAACGCTGAAAGGCAATCAGACCACAGACAGAAACACAACACATGCAAGGATAACCACACAGACCCATGAACAGTGACACAACCTGTCATTCACATGAGACCATATGAGATCCAATTGTTTCCCGATGGACAATATCAAGTCCCACCCAACATTCATTTCACACGTTTAATTTATGACAGAAGGAAGAAAAGATCACAACTTTGATTTCATGCCAATGGAAATGTTTGGCGTTTATATGTTCAAGAATTTAATGTAGAAAAAAAGACAACAGAAGTAAGATAGAACTTGATTTTATTGAGCATATAAGAAAGCATATAAATGTATAATTTCCAAAGTAAAGTAATATGAATAGATTTAAAGCAAATAAAAACTTTTGTTAAAAGTAACAGTTGTTTTTTGTTGTTGTTCTACAGTCTCAGAATAATAGTTGTAGCTTACAGATCATGGTCATATGTGAAAACAACAGAAGTATATAGAAAAAGGCAAATCATTTGAAGGTGAGGTTATATATATTATATGTATACGAGTGCACTTCTTCATTGGTTCTAGAGTCCCCTGTATAAAAGTGCACTTCTTCATTGGTTCTAGAGTCCCCTGAGCAGGAGGAGTAAACCACTCAACAACATGAGCAGATACACAGATGGTGACGAGATAGCTGGACTGGAGTCAAAGATGCTGGGGAAATCATCGTCCGTAGTGACAACTATAGAAGACGGGGTTGTAGGTGATCTGAGCGTAAAAGATCTGGACTGAGCTTTCCATTCATTTAGAGTAAAGGCCAACTTCAAGTTATCACCTTTAGAAAAGAGGTACAGAGAGAGAAATTATCGTAAATGCTTAAAATAACAAGTGACATTGGCCTCCAAAAAATCAAAATCATATAGGCTAATAGAGACGACCCACCACTTGTGAAGATGGCTAAGTCAGTGTAATTGGCCCAGCAGCCACTGAACAGGATGGTGGTGTTTCCGTAAAGCCCCTCTGTTGGATTCCCGTTAGCATCTTTGAGCACAGCTGAGATGGTCAGAGTCGTCACACCCACGGACACACAGTCACCCTGGAAACAGACACACACAAAAAAGATGCTCTGCTTATTCGATACCAGGTGTCGTTTCCTAGTAATCAATCACCTAGGTAGGGTTACACCAGTCATTCATAAGTTCTTAATTAAAGGGTCATAAAACCCCCTTGTGTTAGCACTGGTCGTTCACACCTAACATCTAAAAAAAACTAAAGAAATGGGTGTATAAAGCTGTGGAAAAGTGGGAGTGTAGAGGGTGGGAAGAGGGCAGACAAGTAATAAAATACAGACCTACAACACACATTATACAGACAAATGAATATTAAAACATGAGTGGAGAAAGAAACACTTGATGCATTTTAAACATATAACCCTATGACAACAAACGCACAAAAAAAACTTATCATTAGAGACGACTAACAATGATCACGAATAAATCAAATGAGTAAGAGTATTTAAAAGGTCTAATCATATTTTCATTACATTTACGAGCACTGCAATATCTGAACAAATGACACGCGTCAGTTTAACACAGAAAGAATAAAGGCAACTTTATGCCACTTACGTCTAAAACTGTGCTCCTTACGCACAGCTGAAAACTACCTGAAAACTTGCATCAGATATTCTTAATGAAATCTCACCGCTGCGTCCAGAGCCATGATGCTGGGCTGCACGCTGAGGGGTCCGGGGGACGATCCGGCCACTGGCTGTATCGCCACCATCAGGGATGATACCGTCTTGACCGTCTCCACCTGCTGGTCTTCACGGGTCACCTCCTGAGTGGCCACCTGAGAGAGAGACCGTTACAGCTCAAATAAGGAAAAGCATGTTGTGTGCTTTACTGTAGAGCATCATATTGGTTCTTATTCTGATACAAATTCAAAGATATTTTGGGGTTTAGTCGGGGTTAAGCTCAATGAACAGCATTTGTGACAGTGTTGATTACAACAAAAATTAATTTCGTCCCTCATTTTCTTTAAAAAAGCAAAAATGGAGGTTACGGTGAGGCACTTGCAATGGAAGTGAATGAGGCCAGTTTTTTGAAGAATTTAAAAACAGAAATGTAAAGCTTTTAATTTTATAAAAGCACTTATAGTATGTATTCTTGTGTATTATTTGAGTTGTAGAGCTGTTTAAAGCATAATAATTACAGTAGTTTTAAGAGTTATGGTGTTGTCATGGTGACAAAGTTGTAAAATTAGAAATAATTTCACAGAGATAAGGTTAAAAAGTTTTTTTTTCACACTAAAATCATTTTAACACTCATACTGTTCACGTCTTGAGATAATACTGTCTGATGTATAAGTCTTGATGTAACAGTATACACCAAAGTCTCTGGGCTCATGCCATTCCTGACACCAATATTTTAACAATTCATAAAAGATGAATCTGGCATTTTGGTATAGAGATAAATGTTAGGATCATGATTACAGCATGCCATACAGTGTATATTAGCACAATTTGTTGTTTGCTTTTGTGATTGGTTCAATGGCATGATTCAATTTGTTGTTTGCTTTGGGTCCATGTTTAGACCCAAAAACGCTCACTCGTGAAGGTGACTATTTTAATGTTCATGGATTGGCCCCATTCACTTCCATTGTAAGTGCCTCACTGTAACCCAGATTGTTGCTTGGTTGATTGAGTTTAACTTGTATTGAACCCATAATATTTCTTTAAATATCAACTTTGTCGTATGTGTTTCAATTAAAATTCCCAAATGCTGCTTGACATCATCATAACATTTTAAAATGTTAGAGAGTTTGGTCATGTGATCTGATTAGCATCTTACATCATTCCAGGTGGGGTCACTGGAAGAGGGTGGAGGAGGGATGATGCCCAGGGATGACACATTGAAGCCGATGGACTGACTCAGATTGCCGGAGACAGCAGCGCGGCCCAGATCGTCAGCAATGTTCTTCAGGGCCACAAACTGTTGGTCTTCTGCAGATGGTTTATAAATATTAAGACATTGTATTGTGATCTAAACATTGTATTTGTCATTTTATTCTTGCTCTCACCAGTGGTGCTGTTGGTGGATGTCTGAACAGGGGGCTCCCTGATCTCCACCTGCACCGTCAGTCCTGTCGAGCGCCTCCTTCTCGCATTAGTACCCTCACGGACGATGTTGGTAATTCGAATCTTGTTCGCCGGTATTTTCAGAAGTAAAGCTAGATTGTTGATCAGTTTTGTCTTGAAGAACTCCGCCTCAGTCATGGCTGGGAGGTTGAAGGCCAGGAACAAAACCGGGGAGGTGCGGATTTGGACCGGCTCTGAGCCTCGAAGAAGTATGTTCAGCATTTTGTAGTCCTGGTCAAAAAAGTTGGAGCCGTGACTGGAGTTGAAACTGGGAACGTATTGCCCTGAGGAGCACAGAGAGGAATCAAAGTAAGAATTGTGAAAAATGGTCTGCTGGCCTGCATTAACATGCATTATTGTGCTGTACTCTACCTGTATAAGTTGGCTCACGCAGAATGTAGTCAGTTTTGCCAGCATTCCACTCAGCATTTGTTGGACCAACCAAAGTATTGTTAACGTACACATCCAGCCGCTGAGGGTTTGAGTAAAATACAGCAACCCTGACAGCCTGAGAACAACAGAATATTACTGTAGTTAAGGTTCTACTGTAATATTATCTCATAATAACTTAAGTTAAAACAAAAATTATACATATATAAATATACATATATATATATATATATATATATATATATATGTGTGTGTGTGTAGTGGGTTTGTATTGTGTTTGGTGTATTTTTTGGGTGATGTCATGACAAAATGCGTCCCCCATCATTTACGCACAAATCGGCTAAAGAGTGCACAGCGTGATGCTGTGAGTGTGAGACACGTACATGGTTGTTTGCCGTGGTAGTAGTGTGAGCGTGGAGAGCTGCTGCACAAGGAGTGTACATCTTATATCGTCCGCTTCCTTCCTGTTCATGTTGCTGATGATACCCGGGTAGGTCATTTGAATTATGTGCAATAAGCAGAGTATTGTTTGTTCTTGAGCATGTATGTTTTGTTTGTTTTGTTGTAGCAACAAATCTGGCATCGTGGCGAACCTTGTACATCTCGTATCATTCTCTTTTTCCCCTGTTCATTTCACTGATGATACCCGGGTAGGTCGTTTGATTTATTATGTGCAATAAACTGTGCATTGTTTGTTCTTGAGCATGTATGTTTTGTGTGTTGTAGTAACAAACTTGACATCGCGGACGCTGCCTTAAAATAGGAAACATTTTGGAGGTAATTTGAATGGTTTATGTGTTTTTATATTTTATAAAAAAATGTATAACTAAATGAAATGTCTAAATGCAACTTGCATATTTTAATGGTGTATGAATCTAGGTGTATTAAATGTGTATTGTGTTTTATGTGTTGTGTTTTATTGTGTTTAGACTTATTAGGAGCTGATTGTGTATTTGACCGCTGTTTTTCCCGGTATTTAAAGTTTATGTACAATTGTGTTTTGTTTTGGTTGATTTTGTTATGTGAATATTGTATAGTTTATTTGTCTTTGTTTTCTTTGTCATTTGGCTGATTTTGAAAGGTGAATATTGTTTAGTTTATTTATAGTATATATATATATATATAAAATTGCAGGTTTGCATTCCTATTTATTTTGATGCAGATTAGGATATATTTTGGTCATAATGCAGTTTATTTATTTATTTATACACAGCTAGCTTATTAATTTTCCTGAATTGTGTCAACTTTTGTAGCTTTTAAATCAAATATTAACAAATATGTAAAATAATTTAGTAACAAATAAATTAATAAACTATAGAATTTTTTTAATTACTATATTATTTTACATTATATTTGTTAATAAATTAATACATTATTATTATTATTATCATCATCAATTATATAAATATTATATTAGGTATACATTTATATATATATATATATATTCATAAATTTGTTTCACAATTTAATCAATTAATTGTTTGATATTGATTCATCAATTCATTCATTTTTAATATTAAAAAGATACAACGATCTGCACAATTCAGAAAAACAATTAAGCTATTTAAAAAAATCTTATAATAAATTAGAAAACAAAATAGAAATAAAATAATAAGGCAGAATAAAACTGATTAAAAATTGTTTTCTCGTAATATGCCTTTTATTGTTCTAGATTTTGTATCACCTGTAGATGCTTATAGGTCAGTATTGTCTATTGTCAGTATAATCCATCTTACTAACCTCTGTAGGTCCAGCATTCAGTAACATAAGTCTCAGCTTCTGTGGTGTTGTGCTGGTGAAAAAGATGTCAAAGGATTTATTGGTGGCCACAATGGCGTGGAAGAGAGATACTCGCTTCTGACACGTGTAGCCGGCGCACCAGCCGTGGTCTTGTGGGCCTGGAACAAGATATTCACAGTAAGATTAAAATTCAACGATACACAATGAAACCTTTTCTGCTTATATAAAATCCTAAACAATATTATGCATAAAATAGTAGGTGTTACAGGGGGAGGTAAGAGTCATACCATTCACCAAATCCACATATTTGTCCCCCAGGATGGCTACAGGTGAGAGACGCCTGGTCTCTGTGTCTGCGTCCAAACTTTCGATGACCAGCATCCTATAGTTGAGCCCAAAGCACTTGTAGCTCTGCCAGGTGTTCATGTACGTACAGGTGTCTCTGATCACTCCTGCACAGGTAAAACAGCCACGTCATACGTTAAAAGC